TTAAAGAATAAAAATTGGACAGAAGCATTTACTTGAGTAAGAGACTGTATCTACAGCAAAAATTTGATAATATATTTTTTTGTCTTCATTTTTCCAAATTTTATAGATAAATGGATAAATTTGTTTTTTGAACTTAACATATAGCTTAAGTCTAAGTTTTAAGTTTTTAGACGTCAATTACCCTTTGTGAGTCTATATGAAATTTAGTGAAACTTCTGGAGAGGCTTCTTCATAATCGACAAATAACATCTAAGAAAAATTTCGAATCCCCCCTTTTTCCGTTTTTTTACTGATGAATTAATGACTACATTTTTTGGTAGTATTTTTCTGATAAATTAATGACTGATTGTTTTTAGCAGATAATATTTAGATAGACTCTGGAGTTTATTTTTTGATCAACATTTTTTTTTAGACATTAATAACTTTGGAAAATATTAATGGAATTTCATTTTTGGTTTGATAGAAAAAAATTTCTTCCAACGAACTAACTTTTCCATGTATTTCATTTAATGTCTACGTTTGATAGAATAAATTTCTTCCAACTTACTAAATACCACAAGTATTTCATTTCAATTCTACGTCTGATAGAAGAAATTTCTTCCAACGAACTAACAGCTACATTTTTTTCATTTTAGATCTAAATGTAGGTCTGATAGAAAACATATTCTTCCAACGAACTAACTACTTCAAATATATCATTGAAGGTTTGATAGAAGACATTCCTTTCCACTTGCTAACTGCTACAAGTATTCAACTTTAGGTGAACGTTTGATAGAAGAAATTTCGTTCAACGAACTCACAGCTACATGTATTTCATTTAAGATCTAAATGTAGTTTTGATGGAAGAAATTTTTTCCAACGAACTAACGGCTTCGTTCAAATATTTCATTTCAGGTTTAAATCTGATAGAAGAAATTTCTTCAAGCGAGCTAATGCAACTCGAAGTTATTCATTTAACGTTTGATAGAAGAAATGTCTTCCAATGAACTTACTGCTCCAATGATTTTATTTTCTATCAAATAAAAGAAATTTTTTCCATTAAACTGACTTCTCTATGTATTTCTAATTACGGTCTGATCGAAGAAATTTCTGATGTGGAATACTCTCATATTTTTACGCAAGTTTCTTATTTTGTTGTTTCCCACAGAGAAGAAATTCTTCTAACCATCGAAGCTATCAAATACAGTTTACAAAAATTGGAAAACATTTGATGTATTTGCACATTTTGGATAAATTCATGAATTTTGCATATTTCAGTTCGCAAACAGGACATTCCTGGATTTTCTCTTTTATTTTGGATTGCCTTGTTTATGCCTGTATGATATATAAATTATTACGTGATTTGTTTTCAGGGCTAATTCACGGAGTTCAATAAAACACACAAAACAGACTTGAGTTTTTCAGAAGTTGAAGACTAATAGCCACATACAAAATACAAAACATCATAATATCTTAAACTTATGCATTTTCAAGATCCAAAAGTATAATTTAAGACAACATTAGCTAACCGATATTCAAATCTCATTAATTGACGGCTAAGAAGACAATCAAGATAACAAACAAAAAAATAGCGAATCTCATGAACTCTAAACGGAGCGAGACCGGGAGCGTTGACATGTTAATCTTTTCCTTCTAAGCATGCGAATCCAAAATTTCATAATCGGGAATAGGACACAATTGGTAAACAGATTTGACGACTTTACTGGTATCTAAAGATACAGACATTCGTCATGGAGACGGTAAACAGAGTTGACGACTTTACTGGTATCTAAAGATACAGACATTCGTCATGGTGACGGTAAACAGAGTTGACGACTTTACTGGTATCTAAAGATCCGATACAGACATTCGTCATGGTGACGGTAAACAGATTTGACGACTTTACTGGTATCTAAAGATCCGATACAGACATTCGTCATGGTGACGGTAAACAGAGTTGACGACTTTACTGGTATCTAAAGATCCGGTACAGACATTTGTCATGGTGACGGTAAACAGATTTGACGACTTTACTGGTATCTAAAGATCCGATACAGACATTCGTCATGGTGACGGTAAACAGATTTGACGACTTTACTGGTATCTAAAGATCCGATACAGACATTCGTCATGGTGACGGTAAGACATATATAGTGTCTGTTTTAGTCGTTATTCTTTATAACTCTGCTACAGCAGTTTTTTTTGTAAGGAGCATGTTCCTCCAAAGGAAGTCTACATAGTGGTATATTGTGAACATGCACGTGTGTAATGTTTCAATTGAGATATGTATACACCAGAAGCTTGGGCAGATGGTATGTTACTGCTGAGAAATAGGAAATTGACGATTAGAAAGTTGAAATCATCCTGTTTGTCATAGATTCTAGCTTGAAGTCGTCCATCTGTGTCAATAGTGGGGACAAAACCAAGATATGAACCAGACATTCTAGTTTCAGCAGTATCCTTAATATCAAGTTCACTTGGTTGTATGAGATTCAAGCACTCACTGAAATGTTGGTTGACAGGACATCATTAATATATCTGAAAGTGACATTAAAGAACTTTGGAAGATTGTTTTTGTATGCATTCTTCTTCATATGAATAAAAACAAGTCGGACAGTAGTTGTGCACAATAATTATCCATTAGAATAACGACTGCCTGTTGAAATATTAATACACCAAACTATCAAATATATTTCCTTTCAAAAAGTCCAGTATTTTGATAATATGATTCCGTCGTGAAGAATTTTTATAATAACACAATGTTATAGTGCGGTGAAATTTTGGAAATAATCTCCCTATCGAACACACACCAAAATTTTATATCATTAGAAAGAGGAAACCTTTTACTATAAGAATATGCCTGTCGAAAGGTTCAGAAATGGTAACAATTGTTTAAAACTGCGGTTAAAGGTAAATTCACAAATCTTTGAATATCTTTATTGATTTCGATTTTGAAAAAAAATCCTTTTCTATATTCTGTCTTATTTCAATCTAACACTAGTTAGTCTTCAGTTATGGAAGATTTTCTTGTATCAACTATCAAGCGTCTATTTTGCTCAGCGTGTCCAATTATTTTCTTCGCTCAAACGTGTCCAATTTTCACCTCGTCAAAATGTCTGACAATTCAAATTTAAGCCACAATAACGTCTCAAACCTTTAAGCGCTCATTAATATCTACTCGGCATATTCAATCATTAGGAACACCAATGAAGACTTTAGGTTTTTGCTGGGGTCAAAAGACAAAACAGATCAACCACTATCCAATGACATCAATGTAAGTATATTTTGGTAGCAATAAAATGACGAACATAAATAATTAAAAATAGCAAAACATTATTCATAAGGTGGTAATGTATAGTATGTCGGTACAGCGAAAATGGTGCATAAAAGAGAGGCGAAAGATATCAAAAGGAATACTAAAACGCAAAATCTCGTAAACAAACTGACAATGCCATGACAAAAAAAGAAAAAGGTCAAAGGACAAACAAAACATAACATAGAAAAAAAAGATTAAGAAATACGAACCCAGCCATAAAGCGGGGTTGATCTCAGGTGCTCCGGGAGAGAAATCAGATCATGCTCTACATGAAGCACCCGTCATGTTGCTCATGTAAGTACAAACCCCAGTGATAAGTCTAATTTGGTAGGTCAAATTCGAGGAAAAAAGGACGAGATTGTGATTACGACAATCGGAACATAACCGTCGTCATCTGTGAAACAGATATTTCATAACGGTCAACCAACTCGTGAAGGTGTCCGTAAAATATTTGAATGGATGTTTTCAACTTCACCGCTTGGAACTCTTGGTTTGATAGCTTCCTTGTATGCAGCAATCCTCTATAAAGGAAATTGGAGGAAATGCAAGCTGGAATATCATATCAATTGGGAGATATATACTCCATATGCAGGCGCTGCTGGAATGTTGCTACATAGAAACGAAAAGTTCACAATTGGGAAGCTGAAATCATCTCTTTTGTCGTAAAGATTTGTTCTCAACCGACCCTTGTTTTCAATTTCTAGATGTAAGTCAAGATATGAGGCAGACTTAATTGTATCTGTTCTATCCTTTATTTCAAGTTTGATGGGATAGATGCATTCAACATAGTCACCAAACTTTGAATTATTTAGTGAGAGAACACCATCTATATAGCGGAAAGTGAAGTTAATGGATACTGCTAACTTCTTTTCCCTCTTCCTAAGAAGTTCCTTATGAAGTCAGCCTCATATGAATAAAGGAACAAGTCAGCAAGAAGAGGACTTAAAGCTCTATTTTGAGTTTAAACATTTTTCCATTTGTCCTTCAAGGGTCCTGGTTTTGAACCGTCAGTTTCAATTCGATTTTGCACATGTCGCAAAATAACTCAAGTATAATGAAAATTTATTTACTTGAAACTTTTCATTATAGTTTGGATTGGTAGATGTTCATTCCAGAGCTATGGAACTTTAACCATCAGATTTAAGACAATTAACATGTCGCGCATTAACTCAAGTATGCTTGGATTTATGTACTTTATATTTTATATTATTGTTGGGGTTGGTGAACGTAAGCTCCCTTTTGAAAAATTTTAAATATTCTTTTAAGTGTAATAAGACTTTAACTGTACAATTTGAGGCAATTTTAACACGCACAAGAATATCCTGCTGCAAGTTTTTTTTTTTGCTGTGCAATCGTTATTTTTCTGGTAGTGTTTTGTGCACTGTTAGTCGTTTGGTTCTTTTTCTTTTGGCCATGGTGTTGTCTACATGTTCTTTAAATTATTGTTTCGGGTTTTCTTCTCCCATTTTATCATTATATTGAAAATTTGATTCCCCACATAAACTATGATGCTCATGTTTGAAAGTCTTACTTTTGTACACCAATTCAAAGAGAGATAAGTTTCACACAACGCCGCTCATCACATCTGAAAAAACGAAAGTTATCAAATGTTCCAAAATAATGGGTTAAACTTTGTTAGTAAGTACCACTGTTGTGCACATACAAAAAGAGATAACTCTAACAAACGTTTTACTATATCATATTATATTTATTATACTACATTATCTCTCAAATAAATTTCCGATGTAACACTCTCTAGTTTATATCTACTAAGCTTTGCATACTTCCAGATAGCGTATTTTCTTCCTTATTAAGAAACTCGTTTGACTTGTTCCTGATATAGAACCTTACAATCTGCACTATTTCCTCGACAGGAGGCACTACTATAGCAAACGCAGCAGCAATCATTACCCATGTCTGGCAGGCAAACGTCCATGATGAAAACTGATCAAAGGTCAATATTTCTAATGATAAAACGTTGGCAGGAATGACTACTCCAAATATAACAAAACTTATCAAACCACCCACTACTGCCAGTATCCGTGCGTTTCTGAAAATTTTGGTCATATGGGTTGTATTTATCTTAGTGTTTTCTGAAACATTTATATTTGCAAGTTCTTCTCCGTAAATGTATCTCCAAGGATTTAAAGGATTGTCAATTGATAGAGTTTTATCCCAAATTCTGTCTGCATCTTGTTTTGTCTTGATATTATGTGAACAGAGCGATATGATTATTGTGCAGCTGACACTCATGATTACAGCGGAAGTTATTCCCCCTAATATGCTGTAATCTGCGGAAGTATTGGTTAGAAAGTTACCTAAACCTCCTTCATACACTAATTCGGCTACAATTAGTACTCCAGCGAAATATGCAAATGCTCCCATTATACTACCTACAAGGAATAAACAAATTGTAGATTACGGAATTGACTATTACCACGCACACATCTTCTATTTGCCAATGACCAAAATTCAATTTCATGGATGAACGTTAATAGATGCGACAAATACTATAAAAGTGATGAAAACGTGAACCTTATAAATCAATTTTTAAAATATAGTGAGTGACTTACCTGTAGACGGAAATAGTTATGACCCCTCACTTTGCCTTATTTGTGTTGTAAAAGAGAATGCCCTGGCAAAAATAAAAAAACGGCAAAAAAGACATACAATAATTCACAAAACACAACATAAAAAACTATAGACAGAGTAACACGAACCCCACCAAAAAATGTTTTGATCTCATGTGCTCCGGAAATGTCAGGTTTTTTAAAAATTTTCCATAATTCATAACAGTTTTTGAAAAAGTTAACTCTGGCTGCAATCCCGATCCAGAAAAGTGTTGTGTCTATGGATTCAATTTAGACCTTGCGACCTTTTGATTGAAAGTCATGTTGGATTATAGGTTGCGGGCAATGTTTTCCTGAAGCTATTAGGTCCGAAAAATGCTCAATATCGATTTTTGACAACATCTCCAAAATATGCTGACTTTGGAACCTGAAATGTACTTTTATGATAATATCTGCTTTACTTAGTATCAAGGCTTTTGCAATAGATCCATTTAAGAACCAAATTGTGATGGTTTTGATAATTATGATAAAGTATAAATACAAGGCCATATTTTGGCAAAAATGAATCTTGTACTAAAATCAAAAGAATACATCTGTTTTTACCTGTAATTACAGCTTTTGCGGTACACTTTGACCATACAACAGTCATTAGAAGTGGAAAGGGAAATGCGTTAAGAACTCCCTGCAGTGTGAACATAACCCAGTTTAAATTTACACCACTGTTAAGAATGATGAGTCCATATGGCACTATACCAATTGTTATCCATATCATGCACCAGCTTTTGTAGTGTAATAGTTCGTCTTCATATCGCCGATACCTAAACAAATAAAAATAAATAAGTAGATAAACATACAAAACCACTAAATCATGGGCAATTGAACTTTCCTTAAAAGGGAATAATATCATTCGTTTTTTACAATTACTGAGAAAGCATATCCGGCATGATTAGGGCAGATGTCAAAATGACCAGTGCTTTGAATCCGAATGTTTGATACACTGTGCAATAAATAAGCCGGATTGAGGAAGGTATACCCATAGGAAGGTAAATTTCTACAAACACAATCAAGTACAATATCGATATCACCAGCTTTTAATAAATTTGTTCAATGTTTACGTTATTGCTTTAAGATGTGTGATGTGTAGCTATATGTCACTGACAAATCAAGTCTATTTTATTCTTGTATAAACATTTTTTTCTTATTTGTGATTATATTTTTAGTCGCACTATAAATTATACTTAACTACCATGGACACTACATTCGTAAGGATGCATAAATTGCTGAGCCTTTAGTCTGACAACAACATCTTTTTTACAGGCTTTACATGAAAAAACAGAGGGACATTTACAGGTCTGGTCTGAGTTTCCTTTTTCATCTGTATGCGTCTTTTGTTTCCCGCACATAGGACACTGTGTTATATTAATACCTTTCCTGCCAATGGTCAAGGTAAGTGTTAAAATCAATATAAACATACTAGTGTAGCATCATATGTATTCGACTACTGATAGTATTGATAAAAGAATCACCATATCTGTTGTAGCCGTAACATTACCATTTAGACTTTAAAAAAATCCACTACTTGTACAAGCAAAGAAATTATAAAAGAGGGACGAAAGATACCAGAGGGACAGTCAAACTCATAGATCGAAAACAAACTGACAACGCCATGGCCAAAAAATAAAAAGACAAACAGACAAATAATAGCACAGATGACACAACATAGAAAACTAAAGACTAAGCAACACGAACCCCACCAAAACTGGGGGTGATCTCAGGTGCTCCGGAAGGGTAAGCAGATCCTGCTCCACATGTGGCACCCGTCGTGTTGCTTATGTTATTACAAATCCGATAAAAAGTCTAATTCGGTAGGTCACATTCGTGAAAAGGGAAGGGTATTGTAGTTACGACATAAGGAACATATCCGATATCATCTGTGAAACGGTTATTCCATAACGGTCAACCAACTCGTGATGGTATCCGTAAAATTTACGAAGGGATGATTTCAACTTCACCATTTGGAACTCTTGGTTAAATAGCTTCCTTGTGAGCAGCAATCCTCTATCAAGGAAATCATGATAGGAAATACAAGCCCCGGAATATCGTATCAATTGGGAGATATATACTCCGTATGCAGGCGCTGCTGGAATGTTGCTACATAGAAATGGAAAGTTCACAATTCGGAAGCTGAAATCATCTCTTTTGTCGTAAAGTTTTGTTTTCAACCGACCCTCATTGTCAATTTCTAAATGTAAGTCAAGATATGAGGCAGACTTAACTGTATCAGTAGTATCCTTTATCTCTAGTTCGATGGGAAAGATTCGTTCAACAATTTAGTGAGAGAACAACATCTTTATAGCGGTACGTAAAGTTAAAGGATATTGCTAACTTCTTATCTTTCTTCCTAAAAAGTTCCCGTATGAAGTCAGCCTCATAATAATAAAGAAACAAGTCGGTAAGAAGAGGGGCATAATTGGTTCCCATTGGAATTTATTACTTTTTTAACTTGACACTAATGTTGGAGATGAGGTACATTGTCGGGTGTTTTGTATTCTGATGGCTTTAATAAGATATTTTTTTCTTTAATGTTATGAATCACAATGTATGGCTTAACTTCATAATGATTCAACTTGATAGGTATTCTCTGTAAACAATAAAAACAATTTTTCAAACAAAGTGAACGAGTGCAGAATTTATAAAGGTTCCTTGAATCAAGTTAAAAGTAAAAATCATCGGTTCTTACTGCAGTTTATTGTGATTATCATCATAATTAAAGCACGAGAGCTCTTGTGAGACAGTTTTGAATTTAAAGCACATTTCTGAATATATACCGAATTTGTTTTATCAGTATTATTTTTCAACCTGAAATGAATATATCTAAAAACCAAAACACTTGCAAGAATTATGAGGCCACACATCCACTCCCTTGAACTTGAAAGCGAACAGACTATCCAAAAGAAGCTACAAATAAAGGCAACAGTAGTATACCGCTGTTCGAAACTCATAAATCGATAGAGATAAAAACAAATCCGGGTTACAAACTAAAACTGAGGGAAACGCATCAAATATAAGAGGAGAACAACGACACAACAAAAACACAAAAGTGAGTACATCATTGATCAGAAAAAGGCAATGACTTCCACAAAGTTGAAAAGGTGGAACATACTAGCTATCAGGAAGGGAAGACAATTATATGAACTAGTAGCAATCCTAAGTAATTAACCCTTTCTACTTCCAAGACAACGATATTATCAGAGCTTAGTACACGTTCGAACTGGTTTACAAATAGAGTCTCCTTCGTAACAAAGATATGTATGAGGAGGAAAAAAAGCTGAAGTGACTAAATTACAAAATAAACTAGATGTGTCCGAACGACACGAATGGCACCGCTCGCAAAACAAGCTTGAAGCTCAATATAAGAAGGCGTTCAGAAAAAAAAGTTCGTATAATTGTTCCTTGCGGAATGAAGGAATGACGGAATGACGGACAAGGGTAAAAATATATGGTCCCGACCACTTTGTGGCGGGGCCATTAAAAAAAAAGCCTGTACAAAGAAATAAACAATAATCTGCCATTTGTTACAAATTACCTGTATGGATGGATATAAACCTTATAAATATCATAGACTATTATCGATGATACACCCATTACTTCCCCTGAACCTGTGGACATCAATGCCATCGTTACCATGGTAATCAACATGTAAGCTCCTGTCTTACCCATCACAGCTTCTATTACATATGGAGTAATATATCCTAAAAATAAGTGAATGACGAAATAATATTGAGCACAACAAGACATTCTTTTTAATCGCAATCGACTAAAATGGCTAAAATCAGCGGACCACAAGACTTTCCAAATTGTCATAAAACTAGCATATAGCAATGGAATATGCTAAGTAAATATTTCTGGTTTCGCAGTTTGGGGGTGAAGTTGCTGCTTCTGAACATATCTTCTGAAGCGCGTATTATTTGCTAGTAAAAAAAAAAGCATTTTCGGATGAATAAAAGGACATGTGTGTTACCATAAAAAAGGCAGCAACCTAACGAAATAATTATCCAAACGAAATAATGTCAGGCTGATTCATACTATTTAAAATCATGATGTTTTACGCACAAGATATTGATTCTGATTAAGATCTGTACATATCCACCTGTCGCACAATTGATAAAGGGGAAGCCCTAAATGAAGGTAATGAGTTCAGCGTTTAAAACATTAAACCTTCTGTTTGAAAAAAAATTCTCAAATAAAAATGATTTCATGAAATTGAATTGGCTTAACTTAGACCCTAGACCCTAACTTAAATTTCAGCAAAAGTAGAATAAACAATCAAAACAAAAAAACGTAATTTTACTAGCAATGTATCCAACATTAAATGAGGTAAAATGGTGGACGGATGAATGATAGCGGCAAATATAATTTCCATATTAAGATGAAATAAATGATTGTTGTTGAGGTTCATGTTATGCAGTCTTTCATCCTTTTTTGTCCTTTGATCGATTTGAGTTTTTTGCCATGACATTGTCAGTTTGTTTACAACTTATGACTTTGAATATCCCTTTGGTATCTTTCGCCTCTCTTTTCAGAAATACATCACTATTTCCAAATATGTAAACAATGGTAAATCGAGCAAAAGCTCTTCGTGAGGGATGGAAAAGTTAATTTTTGTACTGTTTCGTATCGAATTTATCCAGCATGACACTATTTTCCACTGGTAGTTGTATCAGGTTGGTTTTTGGCGTTGGTTGATAAATTATTCAACGTATCTTTATGCTAAATATGATTGGAATATCTGCCACTGGAAGTGAAGCCCAGACTACAATCAATTATGATTTCAATATGTTTTTCCTTTCATATTGCTTGTATATATATAAATAAGAAGATGTGGTATGAGTGCCAATGAGACAACTATCCATCCAAGTCACAATGTGTAAAAAGTAAATAATTATAGGTCAAAGTACGGCCTTCAACACGAACCTTGGCTCACACCGAACAGCAAGCTATAAAGGACCCCAAAATGACTAGTGTTAAATAATTCAAACAGGAAAACCAACAGTCTAATCTATAAAAAAAACAAAAAACGAGAAACACTTATGAACTACACCAACAAACGGCAACCACTGAACAACAGGCTCCTGACTTAGGAGAGGTGCATAAAAATGCAGCGGGTTTAAACGTTTTAACATGCGCCATCCTTCATCCTAACCTGAAACAGTGGTGTAACATTACAACATAAAAAGACACACAATAAAATATCAATTGAAATGGCTTAACTCGACCAAAAAGATATATTCACAAAAACAAGTAAATATACACTGTACGAATAAGTTTGATCTATGACACAATATAAATAAAAAAGATGTATTAATGTCAAAAAGACAACTTTAACCTAGGACAAAATGAACTAACGTACACAGGAAAATTTAAATATAATAATTTTATTGTAAGGAGTACCGAAACATTTTTACAAAATAAATTTGTTGTTCATAGTACGATTGAAGAAGTGAAAATTTATCGTCATACTAAATACTTATCAAAGTCGGTACACATTAAAAATTGTAAGGCGAGATATAACACAAAATAAGTAAACATTGAATAACAGAAATGCATTACAAATTGTGTCAACAGGTCAAATTAACACGAAACTACGATTTGAGAGTACTCGCAGTTACTGAAAGCTAGTTAAAAGCCAAAAACAATTAATAATAAAAAATCATGCATCAGAGACTAAAATCAATTAAAACCCATCCCAGGGAGGGATTTAGTGTTTAAACGCCATGGACAGTCAAAGAAGACATGACTTGTGCAATTCCAAAATAAAAGTAACGTCAGGCAGTAGGATAGTTAGGATTTAACCTTATAATAAATATGTATGATGTTATATATAGATAAAACAATTTCTAAATAGAAAATAAACGTGGATGTGTATATATACATCCCAAAAAACATTCGAAAAGAATACAAATTTAGCTATGTTTTAATTTGTTGATGACAAAATCGATGTTAGTGCCAATGAAAACAATATTCAAAGATATTATTACAACATTAATAAGATAACTTTCACTAATAAGTTTGTTTAAAGGTTCGATAAGTTTACACGGATCACATAGTGATTTCCGCGCTTTTATTACAATATTACCGTAAAATTTAGGATGTGAAATACCGTTTTTAATAAGTTTTCTACAGGTACAGCCAAATTTAGTAATCAAATCTTTGTTTCTATGAAAGAATTTAGTAAAAGTTTTAAGTAATTTATGGTAACGAAATCCCTGACTTAATAATTTACTAGTGATGCATTGATTACGTTCGATCAAATCTATGACATCACTACACACACGGGCATAACGAACGAGTTGGGATATATAAACACCGTATGATGGAGCCAAAGGAACATCGCCGTCTAAAAAAGGAAAATTAACAATAGGGAATGAAAAATCGTCTCTTTTGTGGTAAATGTTTGTATGGAGTTTCCCTTTAGAAATTGAAATGTCTAAATCTAGAAAAGGACAACTACTGCTGTGTATGTTCGATTTATTTAAAGTAAGATCCATTGGGTATATTTCGGTAGTATATTTAGAGAACTCTGGGTTATTTTAATGAAAAAATATCATCAAGATAACGGTAGGTATTGTTGAATGTGTCAACCAAATGTAACAATGACGTGTCTTCACTGATTTTGGCCATACACTGTAATTAATAGCAATATAGGAAAGATCTACTTTTAAAGGGGCGCAATTAGTGTTCATATGAATACCTACTACCTGTCGATACACTTTATCGCCGAAACGTACATATGTTGTCCAGGAGAAAATTTAAAGCTTCAATCATATCTTCACATTTCCAGTACATATTGCATGAGCCCAAAATTCTTTTATTTAGGGATCGAAAAGAAAATCTTTAAATGTTATACTAAATGCAACTTGATTGAATTTAAACTTGTTGACGTTAATCATTCGCAAACACAAAAAGCGGAGCCGGAAAATCGATGTATGCAAATATAAAGATAATAACGGTTATTTCAATTCTAATTCGATTGGTTGAATGATATACATAAAAGTCTGCAATCATATTTGACATTTCGGTATTTAGACAGTGTATTTTAATTCCTCAAATATATATGACTCCGTCTTATCGAAATCGCGGTTCTAAAGATTTGCGAATTGCGTTACATTTGATAGTAGCCGAGTCAGTCATATGTGTTTATATTTGACACCATGTACATAACTAACCCTTGATAAGTATACATGTGAAAACTAAATAAGCCATAAAATTAAGTATTCACCTACCTGAATCTATATCCAAAGGACTTAACAGATGTGTTCCATTCTGATAGCTCATGGACATGTAAACTGTAGTTGACGTAATGGTAATTGTTAATGGAATAGCAAACCACAGGTAGGCAGCAATAAAAAAGCCTGCAACACCCTGGAAGGGCTTGGCGGCAATTCGACTTTGCCAGTTTGCTTGGTCTACAAAAGCCACCGATGTTGACATAAGAAACATAACTACTCCAATTATCACACCTCCTCGAGATCTAAATGTCATAAATGAGTTTTCATAATTACCATCAGGACCGTGTATACATTTCATGGCCTCGTACATATTTTCCTTCATTACGAAAATGTTATCAGTTTCTTTATATGTTACATGTACAATAAACACTAGAACACTAACGAATGTTAAAGCCGTGTTAAAATATGATATGTAAAAGGCTGTACCAAGTCCACCGATAAAACAATAAGAACCAAAAAGAAAAGCCAACAACAGAAGAATCATTTCATCCGAAACATCCTTCACTAGAACATAAATGGCGGCTTTAGCTGCTAAGATAATCATCATCACTGTTATTGAATTAGCAAAAAGTGCAATACAACAAAACATAATATGTGTTCCTTTTCCAAAGCGTGCGTAAATAATCTGAAATTTACAAAAAATATCGTAGACTTAACAAAACAATAGTATGACTGACTTTATGTCAATATTTCTGTCTAAATCTGCGGAAATTGTTAGCACATGGTTACAATGACGGTTCCCCGGAAACGTTTTATGTTTCGTTTGATGTATTTGAGCTTCGGATTTGCCATTTTAAAGGACTTTCCGATTTGAATTTCCCTTGGAGTTCAGTATTTTTGTTATTTTACCTTTTTTTTTATTTCTGTTTTGTTTTGAATATGTTATATTATTTAAGACTTATGTTGACCTCTCTCTGTTATTATTTCTGTTGTATATTGTTTGTAGGTTCTGCCTTATTGACATATAACAATATATTTCATTCATGTCATAGAAGGATAAACCCAGTCAAAGATTTTGATAGATAATGTCATTGTTCTATATATAGGTGTTTTGTTTTGATGGCAGATCTTTTCTAGAATCAATTTTACTCTCTTTTTGATACATGTATTCATTTATCTCCTGTTTCAATTTTTTTTATCAGGTATCAGTCCGCATTATTATCGCATTCAAATTTGACATCACTCGGATAATCTGGGAAATTAGTCACAACTTGTTCTGTGAAAAAAAGCAAAAATGATGAACAACCAAATATACAAACAATGTATTTTATGAAAAATGCATGACACATCATAGAGTATATAAAACATACCCAAATGGTTAGAGAATTTGCTATTAAAATAATTCAAATTTCAAATTCCACCAATTTGTTTTACTACGGGGGTAATTAACGACCTATTTAGTTCTATTTTAGATGTGTCTATTTATCCCTTTTCCATTAAAAAATACTTAAACCTCAGGAAAGAGGCTATGTTTATAGTTTAATATTTCTGAATATACATAACAAGCGACCTACAGTACTGATTTGTAGTATAACATCAATCTATAGTATGTAGTTGAAGTTGATATTGTTTTAAATAAAACATATCAATACATTTATTTTTTTCTAATTGTGTGATAGAGAGATCAGGACATCAACATTTCCTTATCAGATGTATCATTAGTCCCCGGTCGCTACCAACTATCGAGCCTGAGGTTGATATTAGGAAGTACGGCTGAAAATACATCTGCTATGGAAAATATCATGTTATGTACTGATGGAGCAGAAAGTAAGTACAAATATATATATTTACCTGAAGGAAAGTTTTAGCACCCGGTGCCTTAGTCTTAAGTGTTAATGAAAGTAAAGGGAACATTAGAATATCCAACACAATGGATAAAGCATAAAATAATGAGCCTCCAAGTCCTGTCTGGAATATAATAACATTCATAAATTACTACAACGAAGCCTGTATTGATCATGTTTTTAGTTATACCTTCTTATTGTTCGCTAGCTAATTGTTCGCTACAATTGTTCGCTAGCTTGATTCAAGTTGCAAAATGGTTTTAAACAAAATAATAAGAGCTCACATATCACTAGAAATACATAAATACTAGTAATACAAAATATAAAACACAAAGAATATAGAGTCTGCTTCATTTCAAGGTTTTTTGTAGGGACTCATCATTAGGATTTAAGACAAAGTTACTGATTTTCAGTTTTTCTTTTTAACTTTTCCATTCTGGACAATAATACGTGCTCTTTCTAAGTGAATGGGATACGTATCTAGGTTAATACGATATTTCAGAACATAGTCTTTGTATGGAGATTTCACTTGCAGATGCGCATAGATAGCGTATACCTTATAAGATAAACGCTATGAAAGATCCTACATATCCATTACTTTTTTTTCATGTTTTTGGACATGAGATTGGGACAATATTACACGAGGATGCATTGATAGTAGGAGATGCCAACTTTATCGAACTTGAGGTCACAAAAATCCACTGTCTGAACATAACTTAATGAAATTCGAAGGGAATTTGATACATTGTTATTTGGCTAATTGGTTTAATTGCATTTCTAAAATTGTACTTTTCCAAAGATTTGTTTATGTCATACATATTTGGTATGTATGAGAATTGTTGATGATTTACAAATCAAGTTTGCGACGCAATACCGGTAACATTTTTAACATAATTTTGGACTTAATTGACAATTACACCATTTATGCATTTTAGGGTATATTGCTCTCCATATAACAACCCTCTTTAGCTGTTCAACTTTGAAGTTTTCTCACCTTACTCATGATTGTAGCACTTTGTAGAAAGTCAGCCGGCCATAACAGTTGCGAAGCAACTGTGACAGCTGTAAGACCTAATGTCACTTTCCCACCGGCGTCAAAAACTGTATCCAAGCTGTGTGCGTCACGATAAATATATCGGCGTACTGCAAAGTGGACTATACCAAGAGTGATGGATAGACCTCCAAAACCAAGGAACATTAGAAGTAGCGCTTCGTGTTTTTCAAGTATTGGCGTTATCCTGAAAAACAATCAAATTTAATATTATTGGAAATAATAATGGTTATATTAGAAAGAAGAAACTGTAAGTGTTTTGTGATAATATACTGTTTTTGGATTGACATTTCTTATATGATCCACTTCCCAACAGATTTAAGTTTTTTTAGAAGTCCGGCACTTTCGTTCGGAGACAATCTTGACTCTATAGAATATATAAAAGTTATTTTAAGTTCTGGCACTCTGAGGCTAAATTTTGTACTATATTGTATATAATATACAATTCAATGCTTTAATCTAAACATTTGTGTAATGTATATATTTCACAGTCAATGGTAGTTACGGTTCTAGATTGAAATTTCACACATGAACATGACCTTTTTTATGCCAACTAGATTTTAAGCTATTAGATTAAAGTACTATATGATCAGCTGCTATAAAAATGTCTATGATGTTTAACCATGACATAAGTAGGTAATGAAAGGAACCTAAGAGCCATTAGAGTAATAAACATTTACTTATACAAGAAATGAACTTATAAAGACAGTAGAGTGCTGACAGTTTATTTGCACAAAGATTGATAAGATATTAGATTGCTAAAAATTTGAAGTAATTGAAAAAAAGAATTAGAGTACTAAAGGTTTAATTACACCAGGAATACTTACACCAGGAATGATAAAGAAATTATATGGCTGCCAGTTTACTTGCACAAAGATTAAGACACCATTAGAGTGTTGAAATTAACTTACACAAGAATTAAGACAGACATTAGAGTGCTAACAGTTTACTTTCAGAAGGATTGAAACAGTCATAAGAGACCTATTTCCTTTCTTACACAAGGATTGAGAGTCATTAACATTTTGTTTGTCCTATTAAAAAAAGTCAGTAATTTTATCAAGAAAATTTTTAAGAAAAATATAATTGAAAGGTGTATTATACGGAAGCGTATTAGCGCCACACAATTTTTTTTTTATAATTTTCTTCCTATCTTTGCGATATAACGCAAAAGGTTTTGCGTTATAACGCAAACATTTGAGATATAACGCAAACCTTTGCGATATAACGCAAACCTTTGCGTTATAACGCAAACATTTGCGATATAACGCAAACTTTTTTGCGTTATAACGCAAACCTTTCCGATATAACGCAAACCTTTGCGTTATAGCGCAAACCTTTTGCGTTATAACGCAAACCTTTGCGTTATAACTCAAACCTTTTGCGTTATAACGCAAACATTTGCGTTATAACGCAAACATTTGCGATATAACGCAAACCTTTGCGTTATAACGCAAACATTTGCGAAATAACGCAAACCTTTGCGTTATAACGCAAACATCTTGATTTCAATTATTCATTAAGTTTTGTATATATGTCCGTCTGTCATTAAATTTCTGTTGTGATTTAGTTAGGAAAAGAACCATAAATACAAGGCAAAGTCATTATAATAAATATGCATAGGAATCAGAAAAGTATATAATTTAACAAGAAAATAGAAATGTTATAGGCATATTTTATTTGAAAGGCCAACATTTTTAAAATTTTGATTAAGTAGATCAAAAATAATGTCATACAATTGTAAAACTGTCAAGTCAAATAGACAAAATGATCTTTCTGCTGTAAAATGAATTATTAAGAAAGATTTTTTTCTTTTTTAATTTTGATGTAAGAAATCGTTTTTTAAATCTCAAAATATGATAAAGATTCTTTGATAAAAAGTCATGAAATTTTCAATCTAGTGTGGTAACTTGGTAGCAATTTTAATGAAGAAAACATTTTATTAATCAAACATCTTCATTTTATTCATTTATTGCAAAAGGGTAGTTAACCAACCTTACACAATCCTCAAACGAGAGCTTACTTTGGAAGTATATTTATATTCGGCTATAGCTTTATTAGCAGGGTTGTTTTTTTTTCTTCGGTATAACTTTAATTTACTAAATTTTCATTGTAATATATGTACATATATTATCATGTATATCATTTTGGGGGGCACTGTATAGCTTGATGTTCGGTGTGAGCCAATGCTCCGTGTTGAAGACCGTACTTTGACCTATAATGGTTTACTTTTACCAATTATAACTTAGATGGAGAGTTTTCTCATCGGCACTCATACCACATCTTCTTATATCTATTATCCTGCTCATTATTAGTCAAATAGTAAAGCATTTTACTTTGCAATGAGTACAAAATAGATAAATTATAAAATATGCAGCCTCCTCCATTAATAACTGCTCCTTCCTTTGAATCTTAAATAAGAAATAAGATAAAACAAATGTTTGCTTATAACGCAAATGTTTGCATTATAACGCAAATGTTTGCGTTATAACGCAAATGTTTCCGTTATTTCGCAAAGGTTTGCGTTATGTCGCAAAGGTTTGCGTTATAACGCAAAAGGTTTGCGTTATTTCGCAAAGGTTTGCGTTATAACGCAAACGTAGGAAGAAATATAAAAAAAAAGTTGTGTGGCGCTAATACGCTTCCGTAGTATTACATTCGTTCCGGTAATAAACACATTTTGTAGATGTGTAACAAAATAAGTTTTATCCAACATATTGTAGTAAAAGGAATCGGCTTTTTTTTCACTTTATAATATAGAGAAGATAATATGGAGGAAATAGCGTTTACTTACAGAAGGATTGAGACAGTCATTAGAGTGCTGACAGTTTACTAACATCAGTATTGATAAAGACATCAGAGTGTTAACAGTTTACTTACACACACCACTGATTCATAACCTCCTTGCTTTCTATGTTAAAACTTCAAGCATGCATAGCTATTTTGTATTAAGTTTGAATAAAGTGATAATCATTTCATGTCAAAACTTTACCTTATCCTGACCTGTGCTAAAAAAACAACATACCTTTAATTGCATATTAGAGCGGTTCCCGGAAGTTGAGTAGTACTGAGCAACAGGGCAAATATACCCTTCTATCTTAATTTCATATACTTTTTTATCATTCAAAAGAAACTTTTAACAAGGATTCTACAGAGATCCTAAGTCCTAAAGCTTTCATTTGAAACCAAAATTACCCAAATATTTTACTTATTGACAAAGTTACAGCTATGCGTAGGAATTATTCTGTTTAAAATATGTACTACTTTCTTGTATGTTCTTTCTGACCGGGCCGAAGTAGTGGTTCAATACCTAAAGAGCGCCGACAGTTTACTTAAACAAGGATTGAGAGACATTAGAGTGCTTACAATTTACTTACACAAGAACTGAAAGAGATATTAGAGTGCTCACAGTTTACGTACACAAGAATTGATAGAGATACTAGAGTGCTTATATTTTACTTGACCAAGAATCACATAAGACATTCTAATGTTGACAGTTTACTTGCACAAGGATTGATAAACACATTAAGTGTTGACAGTTTACTTACACAGGAATCGATAAAAACATAAGAGTGTATACAGTTTACTTGTATTAAAAACAATAGAATGTTGACAGTTTCCTAAAGCAGTACTCGATAAAAACATAAATTGTTGACAGTTTATTTGTACGGGATGTTAAAAAAAACAAGAATGTTAAACATTTACTTACACAAGGATTGATAAAGACAAGGATTATTAAAGACTTGATAATCTAACAGTATATGTTTAAAAAAGAAAAAGAAAGAAAGAAAGAAAGACAATACAATATCACTTTAAGAGTCTCACAAACCGACAATTACGGTCATATTATTAGAAGTTAAGAAAAACAAACAAACAAAAAAACACATTAAGCTCATATATTTAAGAATAGAAGCATTTGCTACAGCCTTTTCTATGACGATGTCACTAAAATTTGTCTTTATAATGTAATAGTATATGTGAAAACAAAAGAAACAGTAAGAACAAAAGAAAATACAATATCCCTTTCAGGGTCTCACAAACTGACAATTACTTTCATATTATCATAAATTAAAAAAAAAACTAACAAAAAACACATTAAGCTCATATTTGTCTGTTTGTCTTTTTATTTTTGGCCATGGCGTTGTCAGTTTGTTTTCGATCTATGAGTTTGACTGTCCCTCTGGTATCTTTCGTCCCTCTTTCAGAATAGAAGCATGTGCTAAATCGTTTTCTATGACGGTGTCACTAAAATTTGAAAACAAACACCGAATATTGTAAATATATGCACAACCCTGCACTATTGTTTCGCTGAAAATCTCTGTACTTAACACAAAATCTAACAATTGCATTGTTTAAATAATATACTGGTATTAATATTTTTTCATATTTTTCTATTTTTTCTTCTTATATAAATTACATGTATATATATCTGAATAGGCGACTAAGGATGTAGGTAGGGGTGATTTCTCATTTAATGACAGAAGTGGTTTTTTTCTCGTCAGGGACGGAGGAATCACTAAATACCAGTATGTCTTTGGAATGTTATTCGGAATAGTGGAAGATATAAGCAAGCAAAATCGAGAGAATTGTGCAAATCATGATACAAATATGAAAATTAGCACGAATCATCATTATTATATACTTTTTAAGAAAAAACTGCTGGCCATAAAAAAAAATCATTTTTCTGGAAAACTGTTTTTCTTTTACCTTCCTTTAGTAAAAAATATCAGGTTTGGTGGTTACTTTCATTAAATGTGACGTCAATACTAGAAATGATTAGTTTACATGTTCAGAGTTTGTGCATGCGCAAAAATGTTACAAAATTCACACAAAAACATTTAAACTATTGACGATATACTCAGTGTTTTTGAATTTTAAATCATATTATGAATTTATTTTATAACATTTTTCAAGGTAATGTTACACATGCGTTTAACAATTTCGCGCATGCGCAA